TCCATATGGGCACTTCTGCTTAGAAATGTACAAGAGCCCCCACTGGGGACTCTTGTACATTTCAAAGCTGGCATGCAGCATGGAGTTCAGGGTCAGCTGGGGACTCCCCAGCTGATCCTGGTTTCCACCCAGCATTTCAAAGCAGCAGCGCTGCACTAAGCCCCAGGTCAGCTGGGGATTGAGCTGACCCCGGGCTCCGTTCCATATGGGCACTTCTGCTTAGAAATGTACAAGAGCCCCCACTGGGGACTCTTGTACATTTCAAAGCTGGCATGCAGCATGGAGTTCAGGGTCAGCTGGGGACTCCCCAGCTGATCCTGGTTTCCACCCAGCATTTCAAAGCAGCAGCGCTGCACTAAGCCCCAGGTCAGCTGGGGATTGAGCTGACCCCGGGCTCCGTGTGGCATTTCAAAGCAGCAGCACCGCCTGAATCCTGGGATCAGCTGGGGACTCCCCGGCTCACCCCAGGCTCCGTGTGGTGCTGCTGCTTTTAAGTACCCCCTTTGCTCCCGCTATGTGATAGAGGCACCAAGGGGAGGGGGAGCAACTAGTTGACTATTCTTTCGACTATCCGATAAACATTTGCTTATTGGATAGTCAACTAGTCCTTTACATCCCTAGTAGGAACATTAGGAAAGTTGCAAGGTTTGTGTTGAAAAGGAGGTCAGAGCAGATGATCATAATGGTTCCTTCTGGCTTTAGAATCTATAAAATGTAGGAAATTTTAATAAAAATATTCTAGCAGTGACAGGGTGGGAGGAAGGGAACTGGAACCCAATCTATGAGTAAATGGCTTGGGACCATACATATTGCCCCCTGAAATGAGTAGTTGTATCTTCAGGGATTATCAGAACAACTTTTTTGAGAACACAACTGGAGAACCCATAAGAAATCCCAAATGGAGAATGGACAGCAGACAAATGACACAGCATCTGAAATGGGATACTAGGATGGAAAATTGGTATGCTGGAGTAGGTTTTATTTCATATGGAGAGACACTGCAATAGCACAGGAATTAAAGCATTAATAGCACATTTTTAAAAACGGGAATAGAATCTAGATATCCAACACGAACTGAAATCCTGGGATGGAGTCTGGCCAACACAGACAAAAAGAGGGAACAAATGCTAAAGATCTGCCCATAGGACTGACCTTACCTGTATGCCATCTGCCAGTTGACTGCCTGGTCAGATGGCATTAAAGGAGGCATTAGGTTAAACTCCTTTATACTTGTTTCCCTGGTCTACATAGTCATGTAAGTTAGTATAACTCACAGAATCATAGAATCATAGAATAATAGGACTGGAAGGGACCTCAAGAGGTCATCGAGTCCAGCCCCCTGCCCTCAAGGCAGGACCAAGCTCCGTCTACACCATCCCTGACAGATGTCTATCTAACCTGTTCTTAAATATCTCCAGAGAGGGAGATTCCACCACCTCCCTTGGCAATTTATTCCAATATTTGATCACCCTGACAGTTAGGAATTTTTTCCCAATGTCCAATCTAAACCTCCCCTGCTGCACTTTAAGCCTATTTCTCCTTGTCCTGGCCTCAGTAACCAAGAGGAACAAATTTTCTCCTTCCTCCTTGTGACACCCTTTTAGATATTTGAAAACTGCTATCATGTCCCCCCTTAATCTTATTTTTTCCAAACTAAACAAGCCCAGTTCATGAAGCCTGGCTTCATAGGTCATGTTCTCTAAACCTTTAATCATTCTTGTCACTCTTCTCTGTACCCTTTCCAATTTCTCCACATCTTTCCTGATAACTGACATGACAAAGACTCCACTTTACACCTCCAAGCCAAAGATCTGGATGGAGGTGTAAAGTGGGATGGCAGCTACCTTAGTTTACATTATCCTCATAAGAATCCCTTAAGCCACCTTGGTCACCACCTCTGAATTTGGCTGTCAACCTTTACTATATTTTCATATATGCTAAGCTGTAATTGCTTGACTACGAACCCACTGAGCAAATTAAATCCTTAGTAAATGAGAGGAGAAAAAACTACTCTGAAATCTCCATCCACTGGGAGAAAAAAAAATGAAGGGACACAATTGCCCTTTTAAAACAGAGTGACCACACACACCTTTGGGCTAAATAGGGAGAATTTAGTGATTCCTGTTGAGTGAGAATAAATAAATATATGGAACTTTGATTTCTACATCTCGTGAACTGAGGAAGATCTGGAATACTGTTATAATGTAACTTACTTTATTGACACACAAACACCAGTCTTAAATAAATGTTCAGAGAGCATGCAGTGAAAATTCTTCTCCCAGGAATCTTTGCCCAAGCACCTAAGCCCAGGCTCCAGCAACTCTTCCTCAAGAACTGGTTCCAGTCAGAGCTCAAAGGCAGAAAGCAAACTTTCTTACTATTCATACAGCACCTTCTCTCCTAAAACTGCCTCCATAGAGCCAAAACTGACAAGACATCCTAGTCTGCTTGCACACTACTGGTACATCTACACAGCAACATTATTTTGGAATAACTGACATTATTCTGAAATAACATAGTGCCTGTCTATACTACAAGCCTTTATTTCAAAATAATGTCGAGCTGAAGGACTTCTTACTCGGACTCATGGCAACCCTCATTTCACAAGGGCTGTGTCTAGACTGCCAAGTTTTTCTGCAAAAGTGTACGCTTTTGTGGAAAAACTTGCCAGCTGTCTACACTGGCCACTTGAATTTCCGCAAGAACACTGACGATCTCATGTAAGAAATCAGTGCTTCTTGTGGAAATACTATGCTGCTCCCGTTCGGGCAAAAGTCCTTTTGTGCAAAAGCTTTTGTGCAAAAGGGCCAGTGTAGACAGCTCAGATTTGTTTTGCGCAAAAAAGCTCCAATTGCGAAAATGGCAATCGGGGCTTTCTTGTGCAAAACCGCGTCTAGATTGGCACGGACGCTTTTCCACAAAAAGTGCTTTTGCAGAAAAGTGTCCGTGCCAATCTAGACGCTCTTTTCCGCAAATGCTTTTAACAGAAAACTTTTCCGTTAAAAGCATTTGTGGAAAATCATGCCAGTCTAGACGTAGCCAAGGAGTAAGGGAAGTAGAAGGAAGAATGTTCTTCCATCTACTTCCTGCTGTGTAGACAGCGCCAAACACTGAATTAAGCTATTACGATTTAAGCTACACAGCTGACGTAGCTGAAGTTGTGTAGCTTAATTCAACTTTAGCCCTGCTGTGTAGACGTACTCTAGGAAAAGTAATTCAGAACACTGTGTAATAACTACAGCATCCACTGTCATCTGCCATAACAATAATCTGAGAAACAGACAAGAAGTTCTCTACGGGAGTATTTAGCATATTTTCTCCCATTGCTATAGAGTTAGACCAAATTCTCCTCTGTGATACTAGTGAAAATCCAAAGAATTTCCACTGCGGTTAGTGAATTCTTTCAGGTCATTATACTGTGACCATCACTGCAGTATCGGTCACTCTGGATTTGCTCTCTTGTCAATGAGAACAAAATTTGGCCCTCTACTTAGTAAATTTTTGGGGTAAGGGAATAAGAATTATCTAAGTTTTGTGTGCTTATGTAGCACCCGGCACAGAGGGGCCTTGATCTATGACTGAGACATCTCAGTACTACCAGAACAGACAAATAATTATAATAAATAATAATGTTGGTAAAAACAGAAACTCCTATTTGAAGCAGCAGGCATCTGTAGGATACTCATCGTGCAATCATTTTAATAAGATGTTAAAAAATTCTCTTATTCCTGTGTCCAAATACCATAGATTGATCCTGAAGCATCCTTCTTTCTCTTGTCGTTCAAACCCCAACTACATGTTCTTCTATCAAATCACTCCAGGACTGAATCCCCTACACCTCTTACATCTCACTCACCATCCTCACATTTTGTGCCAATATTGCTTCATTTGTACATGGAAGGTAGTATCCCAAAAGCTGTTTCCATTTGTCACATCTCGTGTGATACTCTAGTGCTTCTTCTTAAATTACGGCACTAGCAGTTTTCACTTGTGAGTTCTTTGATGTAGAACAAGGCATGAGCAGTGATGGACTCTCTTCTCCATGTACAGTACTATCCCAAGGTTCTACCTCGTCTGTGACCTCTCTCTCTCAATCACGATAAGAGCCTGCTGGGGAATAAAGAGGCATAATATATGGAGGCCAGGCAGTGAGAATTCATAAAGCCTGTTATGTGGCAGGCCACAGCAGCAAGGATGTAAAGGACTAGTCGACTATCCAATAACCAAATGCTTATCAGATAATCGACAGGACAGTCGACTAGTCGCTCCCCTTCACTCCCCCGCTCCCTCTACCAGATAGAGGCAGCAAGGGGGGGTAGATGAGGGAGGTACTTAAAGGCAGCAGCGCCACACAGAGCCTGGTCAGCTGGGGACTCCCTACCTGATCCTGGGCTCCACACGGCACTGCCGCTTTGAAATGCTGTGCAGAGCCCAGGATCCCAGGCTCCTTGCAGCACTTCAAAGCGGCTTGGAGCCCGGGATTAGCTGGGGAATCCCCAGCTGATCCCAGGCTCTATGCGGCATGCCAGCTTTGAAATGTTCAAGAGTCCCCAGCGGAGGCTCTTGTGCATTTCAAATAGGAAGCGCAGCATGGAGCTTAGGCCCAGCGTGGGTCTCTGAGGCTCTTGTGTATTTCAAAGACAGAACACGGAAGTGTCTATCGACTTGAGTAGTCGATGGAAAGTCCATCGATTACTCGACTAGTAAATTAATCACTAGTTAACATCCCCACTCAGCAGCAGGGAGTTGCTGCAGCGGAACAGGTGCTCTCCTCTGGACCCAGTAGGGGGCTCCCTTAGTCCAGGGCTGCAGCCCATAAAGCCCCTGTGTTCTGAGCCACCCTTTACCGGTGGGGGGAAAGGCAGATGTGCACACCACAGTTCTATCCCCCACTTCTCTGCTGGAGCCGCAACACTGGGAAGCTCTGTCCCTACAACTCCCATTGGCTGGAATCAAGCCATGCAAAGCCACCTGTTCTCTCCACCATTACCAAAAGGGAGCTGCCCCAAGTAAGCACCCTGCACTTTTGCCTTGAGCCCATTCCCACATTCCAATCCTGTGATCCCAGCTTGACACATCCCTCCTGCGTCCCAAACACCCCACCCTGCGTCACAAACACCCCACCCCCGTTCCTGAGTCTGCACTCTCAGCTAGAACCCTCATCTCCCCAACCCTGAGCCCTTTCCCACACTCCAAACTCCTCGGTCCCACCCAACCCATAGATCATCCATGCAAAATTTTGTTACGTGCGTTAATATGGAGGTGACATGTCGCACATCACTTCTGTGTTGTACATCATCTCCATAATAATGCATATAACAAAATTCATTCCACACAGGAACATAAAGAATAAGAGGGATCACTGTTACCCAGTGGTTTGCTTTTTATTTATTTATTGTTTGGCTGTTTTTTGCAGCCTAATTTTAATGCTGAAGCTTTCACTTTGAAACTATTCTACCAACAAGAATTAATGGCCACAGGAACTGTCTCTGATAGGTAGCTTATTTCACACTTGTAGTTCTCCCTCCTCTGTGACATCATAAATAATGCTGTTATTTGCAACCTTTAGACACCTAAAGAGTTATCCTACCCCTCCATTAGTTGTCTGATCTCCCTCCATACTTACTGGTATCTCTACAGTATGCAACTTTTAGCGACAAAGCTGTGTCGACAGCCCTGTCACTAAAAGTCAGTATGTGAAATCAATTTGTCAGCACTTTTGCCAGCAAAATACTTTCACCCCCCAAGAGTGGCTCCCCTGCCAACTAAGCAGCATTCACATTTTCATTTGCCATATCAAAACTTTGTCATTCAGGGAGGTGGAGGAGCACCCATGAGAAACAAAAGTTTTGTCAGGCAAGTGCAAGTGTAGACATACCCTCAGACAAGCTATGTATATGTAGTCCTTACCAATCATCTACTAATCAACTGCCCCTGGCCCTCTTCTGCTCTTCTCTGACTCTCCTCCTGCATCTTTCTGGTACTAAGAAATGAGCCTCATGTTTTGTAGTACCCTCACACCAATCATGGAATGGGACATATTGACATGGGGATACAAAAATTAAACCTTGTAACGTGAGACACCCCAACTAGACAATCTGATGGTCCCTTCTGGCCTTGAACTTGTGACTCCGGCTATGGGTAAATTCTGGCTGTACTGTCTCCATGTCTGGCAGAGCACTAAAGGCCCTGTTCTCTTCTCATTGTACCAGCTCTTCCACAGTGGGTCATGCTGGTATAAACTGAAGCTGTTCCAGGTGTGAATTCCTAAGTCCTGCATACTGAGGGACTCCATTTCCCTGCACCATGCCCCCATTCACTGCCACCCCTAGCTCATTTTCAGCTGATTGTTTTTCCTGGACAGATTAGCTAATACGGATGCAAAACTCTTTACAATTTGGCCCAGCTATATTGAAATCCATGGAAGTTAAGCACTTAAATTCATAGGCTCAATATCTGCTGTCTAAGCAGGAGAAAGTCATAGCAGAAAATACCAATGTTTAATGCAAGGGAATGTGCATAGGGTTGGGATAAATTTAGATAAGTATAATTATGAGAATGAAGCAATCATGCCACTTCAGCTTATTGATTATCCTTGTCCCATCTGTCCTGGTGTCGCCCATCTACAGCAATAAATGCAATATCAGAGTAACATCGGAAACAAAAGCAGCATCTGTAGGATTGCTCCTTCAAAGCTGAAAATTAGACTACGTCCTAGTCAATGGTTTCAGTTTTTCAAATCTCTATCTCTGATGTGTGTAAGCTCTTTGGAGCAAGGGAAGAGCCTTATTTTGTGTCTGTGCACACCTGTAGCACCCCACACATCACGGGTGCTATCAGAAACAAAGCATTATATCACTATTATAAATCGTTACCAGCAGCAAGAATGGCATAAATCAATTGGCAAACATAGTTCTCTGGATTCAAGTTTGTCACTGCTATCTGCTCAGTCTACAAGTAGCATCCATGTTCCAAGTCTGCCACTAGTTCACCAGTTTTAGAGCAATTTTAATTGTGGAAATCCTCTTGTGCCTCTCGTGTCTGTGTTAGAATTCTCTGGCCTGTGTATTGTTGGAGTCAGATCATGATGGTGCCTTGTAGCCTTCAAATCTATGAATTAACTTCCTCAGAGGGAAGAGTTTGTCCTCACTAGCAATTTTACAGGAGACAGTAGCCATAACGTCATGTTTTCCTCTGGATATTACCCTCCCTCCCACCCCGAGTCCAGGGATTTCAATTTGGGAAGATGTGGATTCTTGAAAGTTTCACAGCACAGATTCTTGAAAGTCCTTCTTTCCCTGCTAGTTCTGATTACCTTTGAAATCAGAGAATCCTATGCTCTATGCTCCCCCTCTACAAAATCTCCTCTCTACACAGAGACCTGTTCAGTGTTCATTTTCTGCAATTTTACTAGACCTTTCCCCCCCAGCAAATGGTGCCAGATGCATGCCCAGATGTGGCATCTTTGCTGGCTGGAAGCTTAGGATTTCTGAGTTTCATGTCTCCATGTTCACATGATTGGCTTTGATCTGCACTATAGTTACCAATTAGTGATCCTGCTTGTTTTTCAAGGGCAGAACAGTGTAGGCCCTAGATGTACTTGAGACTTTGGCCTGATGAGTAGCTGAACTTGGATACCACCCAGTCTAGGAAATCTGCCATCATCCCAGTGGCAGATGATTGTGCTTTTCCTGTGGGCAGTTGTTCCCAGCCTGGCAGTGGTTTCCAGCCCTGAGGTCCATGGATGCCAAGCACTTGCTGGTGGTCTGCAATGAACTGGCTAGTTATGTGATGCTAGCTCATTTTTCCATTTCCACCTTATACATCGCATTCAAAAGCCCACATTTTCCACAGTATTAGGTACCTAACGTCCTGGAGGATCTGGTCCAAACGAGCTAAAATGCATTACACACTTTCCTAATTAGGGATGTAAAATCCCAAGTTCAAAAGTGAATCAGTGAAATGGAATATTTAACTGGTTAACCATGACCCCATGGCAGAGGTTACTCCAGCCCAGCCAGGTCCACCGTGCTGTGGGCTGCTCTAGGCCAAGCCCACCACACCACGCTGCAGGTAGGGGGCTGCTTTGGCTGGGTCAGGCCCAGCCAGAGGAGCCCCCTGCTGGGTAACTGGTTACCACACAAGAGGGGGGGTAGCAGTCCATGCGATCACAAATGGAAGAGGAACAGTCCTCAAGACAGCCTTGTTTCTAAACTGTGCTGTGAAAGAACCCCTGAATGATGGTATGAGCTTGCTTCTCAGAGCATTGCCTCCTCCTTCAGCTTTTAAAAAACATCTGAAAACACTTTTTGCAGGGTATTTCAATCCATCAGCCACCTTCTTCCATGTATCTCCATGGGCCTTGGCCCTTCTGTTTTCACATGGTCCATGTGAGCTGCTGTTGGTGCTTCATGTTGCTGTGCAGAGCACCCTGGTAGGGGAAGAAACATGATTATTAAAGGAAGCTGGGATCTTCAAAAGAGTTCAGGAGAATTAGGTACCTAAATCTCATCAGATCTGGGTACCTGACTCTGTTAGGCCTCTCTGATCATCTCAGCCCCCTGAGAATGGTAACATAATGCCCCTTTGGGCTGCTAGGTTCCTTGGTTTTAATTTTTTAAAATCTTCTGATTATCAAGACTATCCAGATTTCTCACAATTAATGACATCTGCAAATAGATATTAAATCTCCTGCTTTAGCACATTAGTCAATCTCCATCAGAGAGCAGGATTAGACCAATGGGGGGATGGGCAGATTACTACACATCTGCTATTGTGGGCCTTACATCTTCCTTGCATCATTTGATACTGGCTCCTGTTGGAGGTGGGGTGTGAGGATGAATCAGTTTGATAAGCCCTGTGTTCTTCATCCATGTGCTTCATTCCTTGTGAATCAATTTCCCAGCTTTCATAAAAACCTTTCCCTCATTGAACTGTGCAGCTCTACAGATCTGGCCCCAAGGAGATGCAATGGAAGATCTAGTGTGCTTTCCCTAGTGCTAACTTCCTGGCTCCATGCCAATCCATCCCAGCACATCCCTTATTACAGGTTCCTTAGCTCCTGTGGCAAATGGGATCATCACCTAGATCTTGCAACAGGTGAGGCTGGGCCGGGCAACTGTGTCTGGCAGTGTGAAGAAGTCTAACTCCTGCGGTGGGTTTTTATTCTTTGGCATTGTATACCCAGTAATTTCAGCCCCATCAAACATCCGGATGGCCCCAAGATGTTTACTTCAGTGTTGGGAGTTTGCTCAGCTAGCGGCATGTTCAGGGTTTCTATGCTAGGTGGGTTCTCTGGTGCTCTATAAGGTTGGAGCTCCAGCTAAAGCTCTTCCCACAGTCGGTACATTGGTACGGGCGCTCCCCCGTATGGATGCGCTGGTGCTGGGCAAGATTAGAGCTCTGGGTGAAGCTCTTCCCACAGTCAGGGCACTTGTAGGGGCGCTCGCCCGTGTGCGTGCCCTGGTGCCGGATGAGGTGGGAGCTCTGGAAGAAGCTCTTGCCACAGATCGTGCAGTGATAGGGCCGCTCTCCAGTGTGGGTGCGCTGGTGACTAACCAGGTGGGAGCTTTTGCAGAAGCTCTTCTCGCAGTCAGGACACTGGTAGGGGCGCTCACCCACATGGTTCAGACGGTGGCTTAACAACTTTGCACTCTCCCCAAATCTCTTTCCACACTGAGGACATCGGTAGGGCCGGTCACCTGCATGGCTGAGTTGGTGCCGGGTGAGGTGGGCACTGGCCCCGAAGCCCTTTCCACAGTCCCCGCACTTGTAGGGACTGTCACCCGTGTGGATGCGCTGGTGCTGCACCAGGTACGAACTGCGCCCGAAACTCCTGCCACACTCCCCACACTTGTAGGGCTTTGCTGCTATGTCAGCCCGTGGCTGGCCTCCTGCAATGTGGGAGAAGCGTGTCTCACACTCAGCACAGTGGTGCGGCCTTGGCCGCTGCTGGATGCTCCGAGTAAAGCTCTTCCCACAACTGGTGCATGTGCAGGGCAGCTCTCCAGACGCATGGGTACCCTGGTGCCGGATGAGGTGGGAGCTCTTATTGAAGCTTTTCCCACACTGCATGCACTTGTAGGGCCTCAGCCCCTTGTGGATGCGCCGGTGTTGGATGAGGGCAGAGCTGCGGGTGAAGCTCTTCCCGCAGTCAGGGCACTTGTCCGGCCGCTCACCCGTGTGCACACGCTGGTGCTCAATGAGGTTGGAGCTCCAGCTGAAGCTCTTCCCGCACTCCCCACACTTGTAGGGGCGCTCGCCCGTGTGGATGCGCTGGTGCTGCACCAGGTTGGAGTTCTGGATGAAGCTCTTCCCGCAGTCGGGGCACTTGTAGGGGCGCTCGCCCGTGTGGATGCCCTGGTGCCGCAGGAGGTGGGAGCTCTGGCTGAAGCTCTTGTTGCAGTTGGTGCACTTGTAGGGCTTGACACCCTGGTGCACACGCTGGTGCTCTGTCAGGTGGGAGCTCTGGGTGAAGCTCTTGTCGCAGTCAAGGCACTGGTATGGGCGCTCACCTGTGTGCACCCGCTGGTGCTGCGCTAAATTGGAGTTCTGGGTGAAGCTCTTCCCGCAGTCGGGGCACTTGTAGGGGCGCTCGCCCGTGTGCGTGCCCTGGTGCCGGATGAGGTGGGAGCTCTGGCTGAAGCTCTTGTCGCAGTCAGTGCAGTTGTAGCGTTTCTCCTTGGACTGGAGGCCTCTCCTACAGGGTGGGGATCTGCCCAGAAGCTGCTCCTCTGTGCAGTTTTCCTCCAACAACTCCGACCCACCAGGATTCTCTGGGATCCCTTTCCAGGGGATATTCCCTTTGGGTCTATTCTCTTCCTCAGGACCTCCCTGCAGCGGACTTTCCACCTCCTTCTCACTCATGATCCCATCTGCTGAAATAAAAGAGATTGCAGGCTAGGGATGTAATACTGTAGTCAGCGAACCGATTAACCGATTAGTGAAAGCTTACAGGTTAATTCTATAGACCACACGTACTTCCCTCCCCCTCCTGCAACCAGTACATTTTTTAGCAGGCTGGCCAGCAGCCTGGTGCAGGATTTACTTCTGCTTGACTCTGCATTTAAAGTGTATTAGGAGCCGGGCAGGCAGGCAGCCCAGCTCGGTTCCAGTTCGTGCTGGGCCTGGGAGCTCAGACCCTCCCACCCCACAGACAGGGGCTGCTCTCTTGTAGCCAGACAACCCCCCCCCCCCCCCCACCCCCCCTTTTTT